CTTCCTAATTTGTGTTACCAAACACCATACACACGTTTATGATAAAGTCAACCAACGTCCGAGCGTATAATAGCTTCTGTCTATCTACAACCGCCGGACTCTAAAACTTCGTGACAGTTGCGAAAGTCTATCCTAGTTCCATTATCATTTTCTAAAATTTCTTCCTAGTCCAAGCTTTACGAAACACATAAGAGATTAAATTGCCACTACCCGTATCTCATTCGCTCCCTCGTGAATAAAATATTTTGATCCATAGTTTAAGTTTTGACAAATTATATTCCAAATAAAAACTCGAAACGTGTTTTGTTTTTCTCGAACTCGTTAAACTTCCTCGAAATTAAGCATGATTTAGCGGAAAAATTTAACAAATCACCCTTTTACTCCGATAAAAACGATGTAGAACATCTTAATTATCAAACTGCGGAGACAAATTTAAAATAATTGCAGCAGCCGTTAAGATCTCCAGCCGAAACAGAAAAACAGATAGGAAAACACTCTTGAATCTCACGTGGCGATATAACGTTGCAACTTCGAAAATCGTTTTAACTTTCTGATTGCTTTTCTTTGATATCTATTCAAGCCGTATATGAAAATAAATTAGTTCGACCAGAAACACATGACAATACTCCCAAGGCGCCAACAATTATTGTTCCATCATTTCTCCCACTGCACACTTTTCTCACGTTCCTGTTTTAATCTGGCCGTTAAATCTGATTTGAAAAGTCGATTCGCAAACACAACACACAAGTCTTACTTTAAACCGTTTTTTCGTCGCACTAAATTTCGGATAATTCAATTGGAACTGGATTCAATGCCAAGCTCGGATTAACACGACATGTTTGCGTTTTTACATCTTCCCGGAGCTTCATTCCCTCTACGCGCTGCATTTTAATCAATTATTCGAAGGCAGAGCTCTTTTTTATTTACAATGACCCCAAACCGGTTTAAACTGCAATGCGCAAAGTGTGAACGGTTTCTTAAACCGGTTTTTCGCTTCCGCAAACCGGTTTTCGTGCTCGATCGACAGTGTATTTGCTGATTTATTGTTGTTGTTGTTGTTGTTGTTGTTACAAACGCATTACGGTGGAACGGTTTCACGGTTTCATGAACGGGCAACTGGTTTTCGTTTTTGATGGCTCGTCGCAATGTTTGTACTTGCGGTTTTTTGTTTGAAAATCATGCGAATGTTTGCTGGTCGGTTTAAAAGCACTTCATCTACCCCTCGTTCGGGAGCAAATTTTATTGCAGTTTTTACTGTGGGTAATGCCTGCACAGCTCGCAACAATGCGAATGTGGCCCCAAAGTGCGATAAAGTTGAGAGAAAATATGTACGTATGTATCAAATGTTGGGGACAAATTACCAGGCATTTTGAATTTATATTTTGTGTCTGTCGGCGTAAAGTTGAACAATCGTGACAGGAGCTGAATATTAGAGTTTAAAAGTTTTCGTCATAAATTTGTTATCCAAAATAAAGTTGATTTTGAGTAACGTGTTTATGTAAATTTGAGGCGTCACCTTTGCATCACATTTGTTTTGAATTGATGGAGAAATGGCGCACTAAAACAGCAGTGTCAAAAACGGGGAGATTCTTGTAATATCGGAGACAAACTACTTTTAAAGTAAAATCGATAATATCGGCGTAAAGGCTGGCCGATATTTTGGGGTTGTTGTTCAGGATTTCCTTTGTCCAAGGATCATCTTTTGTGAGTTCTTTTCCTAATTTAGATTTAATAGACTCTCATTTTTTCAGTTTTATGATAAATTCAATATTAGTGATCCCGGTCAATAATCGTCTTTTCTTTGTGTCATAAGCGGATTGTGACTTCTCCCGAAATAAACAGAATACTTAGAAATCTTCCAAAATCTGAAACTTTCCTACTCAGGCTGTTTTGATTAATAATTGAATTCGAAGCCCGCATGTAAGCCCGTTTTATTAGCAAATAGTAATTAATTCCGAGCATCTGAAATAATGTAACGTTAATTAATGTTAAAGTTTTCAAAAACAATTAAAGTTCGATAAGGGAAGTTTGAAACTGTAATTGAAACGCAATTTTCGCTGCGATTTTTCCTAAATGAGAATGACGTCGTAATAAACGAGGATCCTTCACGTCGACGAAAGAGGTAAATCTTTACAAAGTAAATTTGAAAAACCCAAATCGAACGCTTTTCTTAGTTGACTTAAAGAAAAAGCGCTGCTGCCGAAAGGATCGACAGAAAGTAAAAAACGCGGTTTTGATCAAAAACATTCTCTTGTTCCTGGTTCTAATCCAACATTGTTACGTGAGGTAAAAACAGGCCAGATTAGAGGGTTAGTCCTTTCACCTTGACTTGTAATTGTTTCAACTTTGATGAATGGATTTGCAGGTGAGTTTCGCGTCGAAACAAAATTTTCAACAATTACAGCACCGTGTTTGTTTATGCATAATTACCACAACATGTTTCAAAATTTCCGATCCGACTACATTTCAAAACAATCTCTTTTCCGACACGACGTTCTATATTGTGGGTTTACTTTAATTGAATCGAAAGCCAAAAGGTAAACTGCAGCGGAAAAGTTTATTGTATTTTAGACAGTGATTGAAAGCTTAAATTTCCCAAACTATTTTTAATATAACATTATTTGAAAATATCATCTTCTTGTTCACGGAGCATGAAATTGCCCCATCAACATGTCTACAGCATCAGTAATCTGAACTGAGAACGTTTTGAACTATTACATTTCGCAAATATTGCCACGACATTATTTACAACTGACATGCTAGACACAAAACACAGACTAATTAATTCTAGTTATTACAACAATTACGGCTGAAACGTAATTGAAAATCGTCGTCGGCGATGATTATTCTTGCGACAAATCGGTTTGCGATTAATGCAATCATGCGACGGGACGGTTTTTTCTCCGCCAAACCGGTTTTTGATTCACCTGAGACAAATTCGCGTCGCCACGATACAAAACTAGGTTAGCACGTGTAAAATTCTCTCAGATGCGGAAAAAATTTTGTTTTTATTGGAATCTGGATAGTTTGCACATCTCACAATCGATTAATACAGACGACCGGAAAGTACTCAATTTCGCATTTACTGAGACAGAGCGTTAGACTGGGTATCATAAAAGAAGTCGATCAATGTGCTGAAAATTTTCCGATTGGCTTATCAGATATATTCCGCCGTGCCCGCGGCTATTCAACTACATAAGCAAGAACGGTCTAGACTATAATACTGATAAGATTAGAGATTTTTGATGAATGAAGAATGTCGTCTCCTCCATGTGAAAATAATTTACTACGTGCCAAGCGTACGTTAGTGTTAGAACAAGACCGCGGCGACAGAATTGCTTAAGTTGTTGGAAAGACCACCCTTTGGAAAAAATTGTGGCAAAATGCCAGCCCATTCGATTTTAACTGTTACCTAAATCGGGAAGATTTAATGTTCGCGACTATTTTTTTCTTGTATAAATTTCACTTAAATCGTCGTTGTGGCGATATATTGGCAACCAAAACTAGCGGGGTTCTGCTGCGAAACACCGCCGACATCATTTTAAATCTCGGTGCGATATGTTTATGCGAGTAACGTAAACCGGTTGATGAAATACCAGTCAAACCGGTTTTGATCTATGACCTTGAATGTGACGCGGTTGCTACTTACCTGTGTAGGTTAATTAAGAGTCTTATCAATTGGGCCCTCGGCGTTTATGCAAAACATGAAGCTGCTACAAAATATGCAACGTAATATAAATGTATCGCTTCGGTCATTAAATGAACGCTCGCAGTGTTCGGTAATTAATTATGTGACGTCACGGATTTAGGATTGCAGATGCATACTGCATTTGCTTCATTCCGAAATGGTGCTATCTCCATGATTAGTGAAACGAATTCACAAACAAGCGGTTTTGGGTTTAGCTGAAATGTGTGTGTGGGGTTCTATTACGTTATTTGTTAGTAAATGCGACACAATGTTACTATAACAGTCTCATAGCAATAAAAATCCGATTTACATATTGCTACGTCATTGAAACGCGATCAACACGAGTATTTGCATACGAAAAGATAAATTTAGTGAGAGACAATGTTTCTCTCGTGTCCAGCTACGAGGCCATTCCGAGGGTTTGCTTGAATTTTCGATTTCCGTTTTACGATGTTTACAAATAAGTTAAAAAGCTGATGAAGCACGGGAGTTGCAGAAGAAGGCGTCTTATGACAAAGTTTGAGTCAAAAAAACTTTTGAATTATTGAATTCTAAGTTTGCAGCTAATGTGGCAAGTTAAGCTTTCAAATACTTAAAAACATTACTAACCTGCCGTAAAGTTTTGAAATTATTCTAAAAGCTCGACTGTCCTTATTACATAAAAGCGGCCATTTTTAAAGGGAAACAAGAAACGCGGAAACAGCGAAAGGAAGATCTTTTGTTTTTATTTAATAAAAGAAATAGGCAAATGAAGGCGGAGTTTTATAGACGGAGGGTAATAAAAAATGGCTACCGAGAAATAACGGGAAATTAAACAATTTCGCTATTTGGGTCCTAGACGTGCTTCAAATGCTCAATCACCTTAATACTTAAAGCACATAATACTAAAATCGAGAGGGCAAAGCTTTTCCATTGAACTTCAAATAATTGGGTTTAGGAGATATCAATTAATTGTAGTGACCCTTTGTTGTTGTAGGTCCGTGTTTCTTTTTCGTACGGGTAAGTAGCCCCTAAACGGAGGCGATAAACTCGAATTAGAAAAAAAAGTGGCCAAATAAAATAAAGTTGTGAGCTTAGAGAAACCCGTAACGATAATCAATGCAAATATCTATGAATGAGAGCCCGTAACACTAGTGCAAATCCTCTACTAGACTCTAGATTATTCTTATGTAAATGAGCAAGCCGTGGATGCTTCATTTAAATAAATAATTTCTTAATGAGCAATCCAGCGACCGATGGAATTGTTGATTGGGGTGCGTCAATCCCCCGACCTTTTTTTTTGTTATAGTTTTTAACTGCTTCGTTTCGTTACCTGGTTCATGTAGGAGCGCACGAACTCCATGGACTGCTCGAGCGCGTACGTGTCGCTGCTGCAGGAGTCTATGATGAGCGCGCCGAGGGTGACGTTCGGCAGGAGTTCGGTGCTGTTGTTGATCTCGTCGATGGCGTAGAGCATCGCTTCGAGTCTTTGCATGCCCTTTTCCTCTTTGACGGCGCCGCAGGGCATGTCTGGGCGGCCGCTGACTTGCTCGTGCATCGGGAAGATGCCGCCGAGGATGACGTCGCCTCTGATGCGGATCAGTTTCCGGTCGGTTTCGAAGTCCGCGCGGGCCGCCGCCACCAGCAGGAGGAGCGCGAGCGGGCCCATGAGTGCTCCCGGCACACCCACTAATTTAAACACCAATTAGGCCAGTGATCGATATTAATTCTCGATCAAGTTTTAATTAATTGTTCAGTTAGGCGCAACACTCAGGAGATGGTCTCATGTTGGGCTCCACGCGTGTGCCATCAAGTGCGCAAGAGTCCAGACTCAGATTTGGCGGCAATTCGCGCTCATTGAGATGCTCCTCGGCAGGAAAGTTGCGCTAGACTGGATTTCCCTCTATGGAGGATTGGATATATAGGGGTTGGCTGGCACCTGCGTGAAGCAGCCCGTTGTCATAGAGATGGAACTAGAGCCGCGACGCCGGCGGCCGTCGGACGCTGCTCTGCATCCCGGACTCCGGTGCCGACGAGAGTCACCGGCTAAGAGCCCCACTTCCGCCGAGAGATTGATTCATCACCACCTCAAGACCTGAAACTCCACCTACGTTTCCCCGAAAGCGGCTTTCGATCGACGGACCTCACGCTGCCCACAAAACCCGCAACTGCATAAGCACACGTGAGCAGAACAGGACACCCATCACCGGATTCCACTCTGATTAAGATTCGCTCACCGATAAACCGGCTAGTCTTACACAAAACCGGCTTCAGGTGCACTCGAACATAAGAAAAAAAATGTACTTTAACGACAAGTCGGAAAAACATTCATTTGCTTATAAATATGATATCCATCGATCGACTATGTATATATAACTATGAGTTTCATCAGTTGGTGAATTGTACATCTCTCTGTATGTAAATGAAATTATTATTTGTGTATAATTAAAGAATCGAGTCCGATTAAGATTAGCAACCGGCTTCAGGCTCTCGGACAACCGGTTTCTCGAATCTGAAGGTCAAGATCACTTCGAGTGTTATTGTTTATGGAAAACTTACGCGCTCTCAACAGGCGGCCGCCGAATTTGCGCCACATCATTAAATTGCACAACTTGGCATAGTATCAACAAACGAGATACGAGGCTTTTCTACCCCGCAAAGCGAAACGCAACCTAAGACTCCGCCAGCGACAAATCTTTTAAAGCACTAAAATAACATTCACAGATATACCGACGGTTCTTTTAACTTTTAACCAAAAACAACAAGAGATTCGACAATCGCAGCTCAGATTTCTTAAAGACAGTTATATTATGTGGCTTAACTTACGCTACAATTTACTGGGAAGAAAAAGCTCCTTTCGAAGCTGTAAAGGTCTCCAGTGACGTTAAAATAGTAGACTAACACAAATCTCCTGAGATCATTAGATAGTTGGGAGTTTTAGTTATCAAAGATTAATGAATTCGGCGCACCGTAAAAACTCACACTGCGTGTTCTGCTTTAACGATTATTGCTGACATTTTTGTAGGAAATCAAAGTAAATATTTCTGTCAGATTTAGAGAGAAGTGTAACACATTTAACGGAATAAAGTTTTCAGTTCGTGCTCGAAGCAAGCTTATGTCGCTCAATTTAAGTTAGTCTATTTCAGGAACTAAAAATGTTAGGATTCAGACTGAATCAAAATAGTCGCAACGACGTAATGCTTGTCGAATTGTAGTTCACCGTCGCCCACGATTTTCAGACAGGACGCTTTTTCAAGCGCTTATTTTAAATTTATTCCGCGAATTTAACACTAGATTAAGTGTCTCTCAGTGCTTTGTGCGCCGTGTTAAGCAATTTATCCGCTTAAAGCGACGGTAAAACTACAAACCTGAACTAAAAATGGCGGATGCGCCGGGTTATTATGCAATATTTCGTGTTTAGTTTTTTGACACGTTTAGAGAATTTTCGATGACGTCATGAACATTTTAGTACTACCTGAAAATGATAAATCCCTTAAGGATACACTTTTGGTGTATTGGGTGCATAAGTAATTTAATTTCATTCTGTTTATGCTGTACATGCAAGTGGTTGTCGTTAATAATGGATGCGAGATCGGCATCTGTTGATAATACGAACTACGACAGTCTTTATACGATGTCTATTCTCTAGAGTGTGACGTCATTACGGTAGGTATATTGCAGTAGCACGTCTCTTAGGCGATTCCCTGAAACGAAACAAGAAAAAACGCCATTTTTCCCGACATAAACGTCTACTTTTATCGCATTCTGAGATGAAAGTCAACTGCGTTACGTGCCGGTAAACAGTCTCTCAAAATACAATTGACAAATCCTTTAACAAAGTATGTACATAAAGATTCCTAATTTGTGGTCACGTAAGAGTCGGTAGCAGTGTGAAAAGCAAGGCCAACTTGAACTTGTTAGAAAACAAAACGTTTCGTGTAAACACGTGCTATTAGGCATTCGTATACACAGGCTAATGCTTTCGTGAGCCCTCGCAACGCGGTTTCATATCTATAAAAAAATTCAAAAGCACGTTTGAGAGTTTCAATGTATGTACATTCGTAATGTAGCAGATAGGAATCAATGCGCTTTAAATTTAGCGAGATAGGTTAAAGCGCGTTCCGTATGTTAATTTGGAAAAGATTCCCGGATTTGTTGCTAAGCAGATAATTGAGTACTTTCGGTGCATCTGGAAGGAGCCGGGTCGTTTGCTCAACGCTCAGGTATTTGCAAAGGGCAGCGTTGAGCGCTCTACAAACTATTCCGTGTACTCGGGTGCAATGGTCTGGTGGATTTTAGACGTTGGCTGCACTTGTGCCCTTAACTCTCTTAAATCACACTGCCCTAAACAAACTAAAGTTTAACGGCAACACCTGCGGCACTCCAGAATTGCAATTAACTTTGGTCCTACTAGTGTAATCCTTACCTACACTGCTTGACGGCACTTCACTTTCCTCCCGGATTTCGGCGCTCCATCTCGCCGGGAAATGGAGCCTCTTAAAGTCCGGCTAAATTTAAGTTTTATGTCGATTGGTCGTTTCATTATAATAATAGCTGCAATTAGACAAACAGCTCCAGAGCGGAGCGCAAGGTTTTTGAAATTTTCAATTCTGGAATGGCGGGAACAGAAAAAGAAAAAATCTCGAGATCATCCACGAATTATGAGAAAATGCTGTCGTGAGAAAGCTCGGATTTTCTTGGAATAGTTCGGGATTTAGACGCTTTCTCGTATTAGAAAGCCGTCGTACGATTTTCTTGATGTGATAACCGATATGTCGATTCCTCGGTTATTTTCTAATCAGAACGACTCGGCGGTGAAATAACACATCGAAAACAACAAAGTCGACACAAAACGGCGAAACCTTGACTCGACCTAAATCTAGAAAAGTGGAAGATAGGACCAACACACGCTGAGCTTATTACAGATTTCTAGACGCTCTAAAACGACTAGAAATTTAGTTAGAAAGAAAAGAAGTAAGAGAACGTCTGTACAGGTTTGTTTCTAGGTGTGTTTGATCTTTTTTTCATGCGTGTAACCTTCGTTTAATTATGACACTCGTTGCTAATTTGTGTCTACGGGTACCTTGATGTTTGTGGAACCACAACAATGGTGTAGTAGCGCGGTAACCTTTTCCCTGGAAAGAACCGGTCCTATTTGGATGAACGATCGAAGCTTAGCGCACGGTTTTTAGAATTTTCGGTTGAAGACAGAAAGGGCTAAAACTCCCGCAGATTTCTATAAGCGCGCTTTAAAAATGGCTCATCTTACTTCCATTAATTAACATATATAGTGGATTCAGTTTTCCTGGCGGTGCTCCTTCACCCAGCGTGGGTGTTTACAAGGGATTAGCACCTCAAATATAGCATAAATTCACCATTTGCATCTGTGCTGGCTGATTTTGAACTCGTGGTCTGGTTCCGAGCTAATTACGTATGCAGCATGTTAGACATATCAGAACCAATGTCGTGTCACACTGTCACCAACCTATTGCGACAATTTATAGCACAATGATCACTGCTCTTTCCACGGGCAGAGGAGCACGCACGGAATAACATTTTCCAAGTAAATATGCCCACCAACGCGAACCGAACAAACAACCAAATCCAGATTCCATTTTAAATCACTTTTTCGGGGATTAGCTTGAATAAATATCATCAGCGATTTCTCGGCGCAATATGTCCTGGGAGAGGAAACTCACGATTCTCGACAGTTTATGACGTTCGATATTGATGTGTCCAGTTTCTTGGTTCTGTCCGTCTGTGCATCCTTCGAGTTTCTTACTATACGGTACACGTTCCTCTTGCACCGTGAGTCGTAGACAGAACGCTAAAATCGAACCCTTTGATGTCTTTATTGTTCGCTTGGGGCACATGTCTCCTATTGACATAGTTTTTTACATATCGTTGCACAGTAATGTGTCAGTTCGGTCATTATAATTCGAAAAAAGAAAGGGGACAGATAAATGTGCATTTTTCTCCGTCGTTTGAAGAGATACTGCAAAAACAATGATGGAATCGTAATCCTGATAAAATTCTGCTCGAAGTAGACACTTCACTCCCTCGATTCGGACGAATTTTAATAATTCGAAAAAATAAAGGCAGATGAATCGTTCATATTTTCGAATTACTAAAATCCTATAATTTTAGTCCACCCACCCTCCCTTTTCTTACAACGTAATGTCATTTGCCAAAGTCTTTCTTATTTTACCAGGTAATAATCCCGCCCACCCGCCCTCTATTTTCTTAGAGGGATCTCATTTGCCAAAATCAGTTTTATCTTAATAAGTACTAGCCCCGCCCACCCACCCTCTCTTTTCTTAGAGGGTATGTCATTTGCCAAAATCAGTTTTATCACAGCAAGTAAATACTGATGACTAACTCTAAAAATGATCAAAATTTGGAAATATTACGAGCTTACTTATATGCACAAGGTAGAAATTTTGAACATCTTCTCTAGTTTCAGTTGGTTGTGGTTTAATGAATATTTCTTTTGTTGGTTTTGTTTTTGTTCATAATTTATAAGTACCTTATTAAATGTTTTTTTTTGTTTATTTATTAACGAAAAATAATAGCTTGTTTTTATTAATAATAATGCAATTAATGACTACTGGTTGTTATGGTTACTGTCCTAAAAAAATAAAAGGTGCATTTCAGTCACCATCGTTGCTAAGAAATCTAAATAAGGCGAAGGTATTCACACATTATGTGCGTGCAGTGTTGCCAATTTTACTTTCATAAAATTACGTTTTTTTCGTAATCTACATCATGAGGAAAATATTTATATTATTTTTTTGGGGCTCCCGAAACCCCCGAACATAGCGTACTCAAGAGTAAATCCGCCGTTTTCCGGACACCCGGTAGAAAA